CAAAGGTAAGGGGTATACTTTACGCTTGATATTCTTGTTCAGCTGTCTGAGATCGCTGATCCATCGCACCCTACCGTCCTTCTTTGGAATGATGAATGTTGGCGACGCCCATTCTGACGGGCCTGTTTGTTCCAGAACTCCAATTTCTTGTAGATGTTTCAATTCTTTGAGAAATGCAGGTTCATGTTGTTTCGGCACAGAATACGCTTTTGAAAAGACGGGTTGCGCATTCTCAATGAGCTCCAAGTGAACCTTCTCATGCTTGTAATGGCCGAGTTGACCATCGAAAATCTCGTCTGTATTTTTCAACGCTTGAGCCAAAAGTTTGCGCTGATCTTCAGTTAGATGTTGTTGCTTGTCAGCAACTTCAGCACCTGAAGTAGCTTCATATTTCGCATCCATGATAAAGGCATCATCAGCATCATTATCATCGTAGATATCTAAAACATCGCAATCCAATGCCATTGAGTAGTTGGTGTGATTTTGCCAATGATCTGGAGCCTTCATTGGAATGAACTTGTCTATCCATTTGACTTGTCCGTTTGAAAATTGGATATCCAAGCCCATTTCGTGTAGAAGGTCGCGTCCGATTATGACGTCATGTGGACACGTTGGCGAATCGAAGACATTCGCCTTGACACCGTCGACACCTGCGATTCTGCGGTGTTTGTCAAATTCGGGAAAGACTCCGTCCCGCAATTTCACACATTTGTCAGAAACGAAATCACCAGCAACAGTAGTACACTTCTTCGCATTTTGAATACTTTGTACCTTAGCATCTTTAGGAATCGCCCTTGCATTGATCATCGTATGCGATCCTCCTGAATCAAATAATACTTGTAAAACTTTTCCACTTTCAATTCCTCCAATTGTCTTCCAAATCACCAAAGATGTAGGTGAAAGTCGCTTTTTCCTCATCGAATCCTCCATAGAATTTATGTCTTGTTTTGGCGTAGGTATACAAAGCAAAGAATCATTCAAAAGAAACTCCTTTTCCTCTTTAGTCATGGGACCATTTTCATCATCAAATTTTTCCAATGCTGAAAGAAACGAAGACAAATCAGGTTCCAGAAATGGGTTAGGAAGCTTAGGAAGCTTTGTTAGTTTACGAGTACTTTTGGGTCAGTAATGCTCTTCATGAAAGGAAAATGGCGAATCCTCATCATAGGAAAAATGTTCGTGCGCCTCCTGTTCTTCAGGATAATACTCTTCTTGTTCATAGTTGTATTGATCATTCCATTGCTGATTTTCTTCAGCTTGATAATATTGTTCCTGATGCTGGTACTGCTCGGCACTTGGCATTCCGCCATAAGACATTCCGTCTTGGTTCCATTCCGGAACGCTGCATTCCGCAGCAAAGCTTTCAGCTTCTTGATTGTAGTGCGACTCAGCATAGAAATTTTGACTGTTTTGTTGATGTGATTGGCCTCTGCCTTGATAGTTTCGTCCTGGCTGAAAACGACCAGATTGGGAGCGTCCACTGCGCTGGCCATTGAATCCACGGCCTCTGCCACCATTGTTGGGGTGTCTTGGTTGAAATCGTCCTTGGTTTTGTTGATGGGAATTGCCTCCACGTTGAAAACTTTGTGAAGTCCCTTGAGAATATCTTGGAGAGCTCGAGGGCCTTGGATATGGTTGATAACCATTGCTTGGTCGACCATGACCACGACCACCACGAAAACGATTGTGGTGAAGGCCTCTACCGCCTGTGCGATTACCAGGTCGAGTTCGACGGGGAGAACTCTCCTGCATAAGTCTCTTCCTGTCCACTGTTCTTTTCTTCTGTGTCATCCAACTGACAATATCCTTCCACGTAATATTATCGTCGTTCGCCGGATCATTCCGCGAATTGATAAAATCTCCCTGCCAATCAATTGGAAAGGAGCGGAACAGTGCCAGCTTTCTCTTCCGAATTTGCCCCGGATCGTTCTCATCGTTCACGTTGGAACAATTTCCAGGAAGCATATCATGATACATAAATAGGGTTTTCAAGCAATTTGCGTGAATTCCAATTTCAGTATTATATGGTTTGCGAATGTGGTTGGAAGTATCAAAGAGATACATGTTCGCCTGATACTTTGGATTCTCGCCCGTGTATTCGCAAATGAATTCATCGACAGAATCTTCAAAGTCCTGAACTGAGTTCCCATGAGCATCAGAAATCCTCTGATAGGTCATGTGCGGTTCAGCAGTGAGGAATTGCTTGAACAAGGCCTTCTTCTGACGCCCCTGATTGAGTCCCCACTCTGAAGAGATGTTGCAAAAGGATTGAATGGACCTGAGGAGTGGTTCAACATTCTTTCCACTTGCACCATTCCAAACTTCAACCTTTCGCTTGCGCTCAAAGTTGTTGTCGAAGAAACTGACATACTGCATCACTGGATTAGTGACTTCCCTGGCCTTGTATGCCAATGGAGAGTCGCCCTCATTGACAATGATGGTTTGACGGAGCATGTGCGTAGAAGCCATCGTAGAAAAAGTACTGGTGTGTAAAACTTGTTGTAAATCTGAAAGGATCGAGGTTTTTCGATCAAATCAAACAGCAGTTGCTTGTGTGTGAGAGAGTATACTCTTGTAGTCTTCAATCTAAGCCTTATGGCTATTCGAATAGTGAACCAGCCTAGAAGAAGAGATAGGAATGGGTCACAACAAAAGTTATAGAGTCTCTCAGAAAGCCACAGAAAGGAGTGACGTAGGAGTTGGGCCTAAAGCTATGTCTGTACCTCCAAAGGGTCTAATCTAGTTCCAAGGTCACTCCAAGGTCATTACAACTCACGGTCAACGAATCCGAAAACGGATTCGGCCCTTGCGCGTTTTTCGCACACTTTTTGCAATTCGTTTTTCTGGCCAAAACACGTTTGACGGATTGCGAAAACGAAACACGAATGAATCGGACCAATCAAGCATGAATCAGACCAATCAGAATCCACCAAGATACCTATTTTTTCTGTTTTGGATACTACTTTGAACTTGTCTCCTTCATCTTCGTACTTCACCTCTTCCTGACAGCTTTCAACCGCGCCATAATAACAAAGAGATTGTGACCTAAACCATAAGCACCACACCATAATTATTTAACCGTTGATTACTAGTACTCTTCATTAACCTACAAATCTTTCATTTGGCACATTGATTGCAGGTGGTGGCTTGTCTCCTTTCCTTGAAGGCCACTGAATCGCATTTTGCCTCCATATTATATCAAAATATTGGATCAGTTTCGTTCTAAAACTTTTCATAGAGAGACTTCGTACAGGAATAGGCGTTGTCAACGATGGTCCAAGCCCCTGCGTATTCCACCTCCCTCCATTCAATTCCATCATCATCTAATTCAAGAAGAGTGAAAATGAGGTCCCCATACCGTTCACCCTTTCTGAGTTGATTGGCAAGTTTGTCAAAGCGGATCAAGGTCTTGTCCAACCATCTACCAGGGTGACCTTTAGTATTTGAGAGAATGCGCCGGCGGTGGTTGACTGTCATGTTATGTGTCTGTGTGGGCATTGGAAGCTCGAAGGAATCATGGTGATTCCTCAGCCGGTAAAAATATCTCAGCGTGCCAATGTGGGTGGCATCACCACTTCCAACACAACCATTGAAACCTGCCCTTGCATATTCTTTGGAGCACCTTCCTCGAACGTCTTCTGATGTGGCAGGAAGGTACACATATTTGCGGTAAAGAGCTGTTGAACCCCAATGATGATAAACATGGAGAAAGCGTCGGTGGGTTTCTTCTGAGATTGATGTTGATTCCTCAAGATCATCCAGTGTCCACCCACGTCAGAGATACCGAAGAGTCCCCAGAAGTAACAGCTCAGTGGGTGCATGAGATCTCTTGCCAGTGCAATGTTTGGCTGTGTCACTCCATTTTGAAAACAAGGGGCTGGCTTTCACTTCCTCTAGGTGCTTGAGGTAGGACTAGTTGGATCAACACAGCTTATCAGCCTTGTTGGAGGGCCGTAGGGTTGGGTATTGCCCATGATGACTTGGATCCTAGAGTTTTGTTGGAATCCGTTCGTTGACGAAAATGTTCCCGATTTGCCGGGGAGATGAGTCAAAATCTCAAATCCCCCGGATATCGCACGTCCAACTTCGTTCCCCGAAAATTTCGAACGCACCTTCGTGGTTTATCGCTAGGTTTGGGCCTATGAAAAACCAAAAAAACAGTAGAAAATCAAAGAAATGGTTTTGAACCATCAGTAGGAGTTGTGCATACGAGCCTCTGTTTTTTTAAATTTATTTTAAAATTGCAACACCAGTACAAATATTGACGCACCAACGAGTCTGGCTACGTAAATTCCTACAACAAAACAGTACTACGAGGATTTTGAACCACTCGGCAATGAGTCAATTATCGACATGATTTCCTCCATCGAGTTCCTCTATAAGATGCAGCTTTCGATGCGGCTTTGGAGAAAACAGTTCATATTCATGTGCCATTTCAATTGGATGGCGCAAGCCTGCGCTGTGGTATGCAATAGAGATGTATTGGCTCCATTACTCTCCAGTGCAGGAGCACCTCCTAGACATGGTGAAAATAGTGAGCAGATCAGGAAGAATCAGGATTCAACAGCCGTCAGAGAAGTAGAAGGAATCATGCAGACATATAATGTTCGTCGTGATTATATTTGAACAGTGAACGCGAGATTGAAGCAAATACTGAAAGACGACGCACGGCGGAAACAGAAACAAACAATGCATGCCAGCGACACAGGTTTTGGAGGCCAGGCAAAACGATCCACTACAAAAAACCAACGACTCATGAAATAAATGCTACTTCGAAAGTATATATTGCATGTTCAGCGTGTTGATGCAGATTTACGTCGTTGTTGGGTGTTCATTGTGCTGACGGACATTTGTGATTATTGATTTCGTTCTCCAGATTTTGAATGAAATGAAAATGAGAATCGAACGGCTTCTCATTATCTTTGTCATTCACGAATGATAGCCTCCATGCAATCGGATCTCAAAATGAGAGGAAGATAGATTGAGGATTGCCAGGAAGCACATCAATGAATATAGCTGTGTGCTGTGTGTCGGACCAAGAGTGGTCGGAGTCCGTTTGTCCGCCAATCATTGGATTTGAACGGGTGGCCACACAGACTACAGCACCTACAGGACTACGGTACGTTAGCGGCGTGAAGATTGTACGTCGCTAACGTAGTACTACGTTAGTTCTCGTGGCTAACGTAGTCACTACGTTAGCGACGTGAAGATTTTACGTCGCTAACGTAGTACTACGTTAGTTTTTGTGGCTAACGTAGTACTACGTTAGTTTTCGTGGCTAACGTAGCCACTACGTTGGCGACGTAAAGATTTCACGTTGCTAACCTAGTACTACGTTAGTTTTCGTTGCTAACGTAGTCACTACGTTAGCCACGTAAAGATTTTACGTCGCTACCGTAGTACACGTACTAGGCTATTATTCGCCAACGTGCTTTTTAAAATAGTACACGTACTGTACATAAGCGACATAAAATCTTCACGTCGCTAACGTAGTACTAGGTTAGCTTTCGTGGCTAACGTAGTCACTACATTGGCGACGTAAAATCGTTTACGTGGCTAACGTAGTACTAGGTTAGTTTTTGTGGCTAACGTAGTGACTACGTTAGCGACGTAAAATCTGTTACGTCGCTGACGTAGTACTAGGTTATTTTTCGTGGCTATCGTAGTCAAATGTTTGGTAGCTGGTACGACAGCCAACTCATCAGACATCACACACTGTTGCTCCCCATTCTCCAAATCCATTGGGTACTCGTCAGTCTCATCTTGTTCAGGAAGAAGAGCATCAGAATCACTCCCCATGCTCGCTTCCGGCAACTGATGGAGCAAGCCGTGGCTAGGGCTGTCGGCAGAGACACTACGGCCAAGATCGCCACTGTGTGGGTCCAATATAGGTTGGTCCCAGTCAAGGTTGGAGACGAGTGTGGCATTACCAATGCCAGTGTCATTCAGATCCATAGCAGTGTCAAAATCATCTAGTCGGTCGAGAGTATCATCAGAGGCTTCATTAAGAGTTAAAATAGTTTTACTACTTTTTAGGATGCCTACTCTATCGAATGGTCTCTCACCTTTGCCCTGTTTGTCCAGTCTGTCAATGTTGGGATCCAATAGAGTTTGGTCCCATTCAAGGTTGGAGTCGAATATGACATCATTTGCAATGTCATGCTTGTTCAGTGTCGTTCTACTCATGGTGCTTTGTGCGCCAACAAGTTGTGTGGCACGACTACCATTGAGTATATTGACACCGTCAGACGTGCGAATACTAGGTTGTAGAGCGGAAGAAACAATAGTAGTAGGACTAGTAGTGTCACTATACTGATTACTGATCACGTCTACTGTAGCTTGGCGGTCTGATTTGTCGCTCATTGGCCGTTGTAGCTCCCCATGTTTGGGTGCAAATTCGTTGCGTACGGTGGCTAGATGGCTGTCTGGGTTCGTCTCCATCTGTGTTGGACGGAGAATATCAGGGGACGAGTCAATAGGTTTGCAATGATCAGGCTTGGAGACAAGAGGTTGTGGTAAAGAAGAATGATTGAAAACTATAAAGTCACCACTACATTGATAATTGAAGAATGCTTGTACGTCAATGTTCATGCAATTGATCGGAGTGATCGGATCGCGATGGACGTTTTGACAAAGGTAAGCATACCCAAGTAAAGCCCGAAGAGTGCCACGATGGGGCCGCTCAAGCTGAGTAAGCTGAGTTTGGCCAGTATCCACCCCTTGTGCGTCAAGAATGGGTGCATCGTACTTCAGTTCCAGGAGCTCAGCCGCACTGTAAGAGAGGAGGTCCATGAAGTTAATACATCCATCACGACAAAGCGCAAGCATGAGTGGACTGTCGAGAGACGCTCAAAAGAGGGTCATGGCAGCAAACTTTAGGCTTGCAAAAGTATCACCAGGTTGTACGGTAGCATCGGCGGGCGTACCGGCAGTATTGCCAACAGTTGAAGTAGCAGGGCTGACCGGTTGGTAGGCAGCACCAGCAGTAGGATCGGGTGTGGGGTTCGTACCGTTCCGAGTAGTTGGCATATCTGGTTTGTTGTTGGGGTGGAAAAATAGGGGAAGAGTCCTCTCACGAGAGCGAAGACTCTAGGGACGATGCCTGTCCCAAAACTTCTTAGTGCAAAGTGTCAGATAATCAACTCCGTAGCTGTAATGAGAGCCTCAACGCTCTAGCCACCTCTGGAGTGTACTGAGCTCGAATCTACGTCGGCTATGGATTGCCTACAATAGGAACAGGTGCCAGTGATGCTGGGCTTCTACCTGCGGATGAACAGTCTCACCACTTCCTATTAGATCTTATTCTACTGCTATTCT